GATTGATTACCTTTAACGACTGTCTTAGCAGAATACTCTCCATCATAAGCACCTTCTAAGTTGACTGCAGTACATTCATATTCCCCTTCATCAGTTTTCTGCAGGCTTTTTATCTCGAAGCGGACTGAGTTTGGTGAGAGACGTTTCAAAGTAATTTCATTTTTAATCACACGGATTAGGTGAGAAGAATATCCAAAAGTATCTTCATGTGAACTGATGATTTGGATCTCAAAGTTTGGGTTTGAAGGCTTCGTCATACGGAATTCAAAATGTTTGTCAGTGTTTTCACTTCTGAAGCCACTCACACTGCAGGTGATGTAGAGGGGAGAGCCTAACACACGATACAGAGGCCCAGCTTGTACTTCAGTGTTCACTCTGGCCTCTCCTGAGTAAAGCAGAGACAAAACACAAATGAAGTCATCTGAATCCTGAAACTTCAAAGTGCCACTTGTGTATTTATAAGTATTAAAGTATCTAACATATATGTTGCACAGGCATGTTACAAATGAATGATAGAATGAATACACAATATTTTCAGAAAGATTTATATATTTTTTTATTTGTTATGTTATTTTCTGCAAAAATATGGTTTTTATGACATTTCGGATAAAAAAATAAAAAATGTTTGCAAGTTTTGAAAAAAAAATATATTCACCCTCCAGGTGATGGCCACAATCAGCCACATGACTGTGTTTTTTGTTAGTTCCTTTTTAAGGAAACTGTGGGTTCCTGTCACGAATGGCTGAAGTAGTCTTACAAGTCTAGACCAAGATTACGAGGATAGGAGTGCTATTCAGACCGTGATAGAAGGCTAATTAAATCAAATAATGTGTACAATCGTCTTCTTTTCATCCAAGTAAAAACTGCTTGTTTTCTTGAGCCACTTTATTTTCCCTCATGTAGGAAATATTTTTTCCCCAGAGAAAGCAGATGATGTGAAACTGAATGAGGGCCCTAATGCAGGAGACACTGACAGGCAGGAACAAGTTAACATAAAGTGAGCTTTCTATTAAGACTGATCGTAAAGGTATAAAATAAGACAAACCAAAATGGAACAAATTAAACTGGGAAATAAGAGGAAACATGGAACCTAAACGACAGGAGGGTAGCAGAGGAAACACTCAGACTACAGGGGGAAGACTGAGATAATATAACCTATACACAAGGGGAAGATTGAACACTTTAAATTCCACACTTTAAAAACAAAACACTGGGTCAAAATCCAGACCCATGAAACATTTATTGCTACCTATTTCATGATGCAAATGATGCATGAAAATAATTCGGAGCTAATTTGCTTTCGTGTAGCAATTACACTGATATTAAATATAGAGACACCAGAGGAGATGAACCAGTGAGTTTAATCTCGGAGCTTTTCAAAAACCACGACGCAAACAACACAGACAATATTTTAGCTTTACCAAAGACGATGAGCTTAACATGCAAATGTACTGATGGTAATTATATATATTTATTCTATTCAAAATGGGCATACAGTGTGTTCTTACCAACAGCTTACTTAAACACAGTTAATATTCTGACATCTCCAGTGAATCCTCGAGGTCACTGACTAGAATCCACTGCAGCTAAAGGAAACCAGTGTACCACTTACCACAACGCAAAAGCTGACCCAGGCAGAGAATCAAACTGGACCTCCAAACGGAGAGCAGGAAACAACTCATCATGAACCTTCAGCTTCAGGCTCAGCACTTTACGTCCTCAGCATAGCCTCTGTGATCAAGCTCTTAGTCTGTGTGAAAATCTGTCTGTGTCTTTTCACACTTGTTAAAGTGGTTTATGTTTCCTGTCGGTGACCTAGAGCAAGAGGAAGTCTGAGATATTTCCTGCATACTGCACATTATTCATGACTTTTGTATATGTGTACAGGTGGATTGGTGGAGATCAGTAACATCGCTCGTTTTTTTTCCCCATCCTCGATCGAAACATTGGATGGTTACACGCGTGGTTAGACAACCTTAAGCTGAGCGGGCTCATAAGTAGGTCACCAAATCGTTCATTCTGTTCATTTCTATGTAGCGTTTTCAGAGGGAGAAACGTTTCGTCACTCACCCAAGCGACTTCTTCAGTCTCAACTTTTGCATAATGACTGAAACTTGGTGCTAGTTTCAGTCATTGTGCAGAGCTATACTGTTTACAAGGTTGGGGGGAAGCCTGCATTCAGCTGATGAGATGAGACTTCCAGATGAACGGAATAAACTTTTTGGGAAAACACATGTAACTTTTCGATTATTCATCGACTTCCTTTAAAATATATTTTCATAGCATGATCATATTGCTGCATAGGCGACTTGTGAGATAACGTGGTTGCGGTCAAATTGCGTTGCGTAGAAACGACCCTTTAACGGTCCCCATCTGAGTTTGACCCAGTTTTTGCAAACAGTGATAATTTGAATGCGTCTGTTTGAACGATCCTGTAGATTAATGACGCAATATTGCCATCTGCTGGAGTCCAGAAAGACGTACAGTTCTACACAGTCAAATCAGCGTTTCAACATTTAGACTGTTTAAACATGGTGGAAAACGTTTGATATAATAGAGACAAGCTAAGAAAGAGAAGGGGTAAACATTTTATCAAGTTCATACAAACAAGAAAATTTAATGATGTATGCAGAAGAAATACAGGATTTAAGAAGCCCATAAGTGATATTTCAATCCAGAATGACTATTGTGAATTCAAAAACAGTGGGGGAAAATGATGCCATGATGTAGTTTATTAATAACTAATAAAGTAGCAGCATTTTGTTATAATCTACACTCATCCATCACTTTGTTAGGTGCATTACTGTGCATAAGTTTTAAAACACCCCTCATTTCTTTAACAACATCCCAAAGTGGCCAATATTAAGGTGATGGTTGTTGTGGTATATACTGGAAAATGACAGATAGGTGCAGCAAGGTATTCATGTGCAAAGATAAATGGTAATATGGTATTTAAGGTCATAAATAGAGTTCTGCCTTTTTCTCCATTCTGTATCAAGATGATCCCACACTGCTTTAGTAATGTACAGGTCTGGGCTTTGGGGAGGCCAGTCCATGGCTTTTACTGCATTGACAGTGAACGTTTTGTTCATAATTCCATCAATTTTAACAAGACTCCCAACACCACTGGCTGAAATTCAGCCCCAAACAGTCCACAATGTTTTACAGATGTGTGTAATGACACATGTATAACACTTACTGTTGTACAGCTTTTAACCAAACATTTCAAATTTGGAGTCATCACTCTATATGACATGTTGCAACTGATTTTCAGTTCAGTTCTTGTGTAATTTGAAATATCTCAGCCTTTTCTCCCTGTTTCCTTTCCTTAAGAATGGCATCTTGACATCCACCCTTCAAAGATACCATTTCTGATGGTGCTTCAAAGAACAGTAGATGATAAGGTGAAGGGCCAGATGCATTTTTCAGGTTTTGTGGCAGGTCCTTCAGGTCCTCACCCCTGGACTTTTTTCTTGTTAAGATACGATCTACAAATAAGGTTCATTTGTGTCGTTGTTTTAGTCTTGTCCAGTTTTCCCCAAACTTTTTAAAGACATACTACACAATATGGTGAGATATGGTATGTGATATTGTATATGATATCTCTTTTAGAAACACTTTGTTGGGGCAAAAACAAAATTTTATGCCTGTTAAAAGATGTTGTCTTCAACTAAAACAAATGGGGACGAATAAAGCATTGTTGTGTAGACACAACACTGATTGAAGTTCCTTTTTTTAATGCTTCAGTGATTCATTGAAGTCAAGTGGCTCAACAAACTTGTCAGAATTGCTCTGAAAATGGTCAGATACAAAGACTGGACTAAAAATGAGGGGAAAAATATCAACATGTCGGAAAAAAAAAAGAAAAAAACTTTTAAAGAGCTGAAGAAGGACTATATAACTATTGCTTAAGAATACTTGAACAAACAAACAAACTATGAACAAACCAAACAAATCAGAATGAGAAAAAATATGATTTGGGTAACTTTGAACATGGCATGGGTTATAGTGTTTCAGAAACTGCTAATCTGTTGGGATTTTGTCACAAAATCATCTCTAGCATTTACAAAGAATGATCAGAAAAAGAGAAGAGATCCAGTGAGACATCAACCACGCATTTTTTGTGAAATGTGAAAATGTATTTTTTGATGGCAGAGGTCAGAGGAGAATGTCAGACCTGTTTTGAACAGACAGGAACAATTCGTTACAACCAAAGTAGGCATAAGAGCAACTTGAACGCATAACATGTCAAACGTGTCAAGGTTCCACTTCTGTCAGTGAAGAACAGGAAACTGAGTCTAGAGTTTACAAAGACTGAAGATGGGGAAAAAATGCTGTCTGGTCTGATGAGTCTGCTGGTAGGGTTAGAATCTGGCATAAACAACATGAAAAGATGGGTTTATGCTACCTTGTATCAACGGTTTACACTGCTGAAGGTGCGATGATGCAGGAGAGATTTTCTTGGGACAGTTTGGCCACTTTACTACCAAATAAACATCATTTAAATGTTGTAGCCTACTTGAGTATTGCTGCTGAACATGTCCATACCTTCATGACCACAATGTGACCATCTTGTGATAGCTGCTTCTAACAGGATAGTGCCATCATGTCAGTATGGACCAAAATTTCTGATGAATGTTTCCAGCACCTTGTTGAATCTACAAGAAGAATCAAGGCAGTTATGAAGGCAGAGAGGAGGTCCAACCCTGAATGAGCAAAATGCATCTAATAGAGTTACCAGTGAGTTTATCTTACTACTTTGCATTTGAATGACTGCACAATACCAAAACACATGTGATGTATATTGGAGGGCAGAGTGCTGCCTTTTTGTTGTCAATACTAATTAAGGACAAAAACATAAAACAATGTGGTTTTTTTGTTTTGTTTTTCGGCTTTTTGCTGTGTTTACTTAGACACTTTTATCGTCTCAGGCTTATAAATCGGGTAAAATGTCACAATCTAAGGCTCCTCTTCTGATGAATCACAAACTTACGCAACCACGGAGTTCTTTAGACGAGCATACGTCAAAATGGTCGTGAATGAATGCCTCTAGGGGTTTGAGGGACTTTCTCACGTATGGGAAGACAAGCACGTCATCTTTCATGTTTCCCAGCATGATACAACCTGCTGGTTTAGATATAAAAAGGTAGCCTTCTAGTTAAACTTGGACTTATGGCGCCAGTGTGATGGCGTGATGCAAGAAAACTCAAGATGAGGAGTTCACAGGAGCGTTCCGCTTATGTTTGAGATGAAATACTTTTATCCCACCTAGGTTGAGCTGCTGAGCAGACGTCTTTCTCTTTTTTCTTTTTTCTTTTTTTTTTTGCAGTCATCTTTTCCATAGAAGAGACCTGCCATCATTGTCTGTGATAAAAAAACAAAGAAATGCAAAAAAAACTGTCTAGCTTAGAGAGAAATTTACTCAGCTGAAGACAAAGGGGAAGTGTTATGCATACGCATGTCCCTTACAGAACAGGAATAGGAAGTATGAAGAAGACAGGAAAAAACACAAATCCACTTCTCAAAGCAAAAGAACTGCTGCAAGCGTAAACCACACATGTTTGTGCACTTTCTATTTAGGCTATGTGTGCAGGTGTTTCTGAAGGTGGCTGCATGCTGCTCTTCTGCAGAAAGGGAGTTTTGAAGCTCTGCTGGTTTGAAAGATGAGTGACTCACTGGAGAGGACTACAGACTGTCCTTTGCCGCTTCTCGCTGAGGAGTCCAACGTGAACGATGAGAAAGGGAATGTAACAGGACCAAGTGAGTTACGTTGGGAAGATGGAGGTCTGCCCATGGAGCTCCAGAAAGGGATGGAAACCCTACGAGTGAACAGAGAATTGACTGATGTGACACTGCGCGTTCAGGGTCATGACTTCGCTTGCCATAGAGCGATTCTGGCGGCTGCAAGTCACTACTTCAGGTAAATCATCATCTGGTCTTAACTGTGTTGTGATCTTGGGCATACTTGTTTTACTCACAAATTATGGCCGGTCTCTACAGGGCAATGTTTTGCAGCGGTCTCAAGGAGAGTCATGAGGAACGTGTGGAAATGAAAGGTTTGGACAGCGGGACAATGCACTGTCTCTTGGAGTATACCTACACCAGCCAAGCTCTTCTCACACACTCGAATGTCCAGAGAATACTCGAGGCTGCCAGTCAGTTTCAGGTAAAGCAGCTTAACTGATCTTTGTTGCTCAATCAGGGTTTTTTTTTTTTGCAAAATCATTGTCTGGTGCCAGGTTATTGACATTTTTTAACACCAATGTAAAGATGTAGTGAAATCAAACAGCAGAGGCAAAAAAGTTCTACAAATCGAGGTGTGAATTTAGACTTTAAAGACCAAGTAAACCATTTTTTACAAAGAAATTTGACCTTAACATGTTTTTCACAAAAAGGCAGCACAGCTTGAATTTAAGTCCATAAAATAAATCAACCATAGAGTTTATAATTAATCTGACTGAAAGTTTGTTTTAGTCGAGTTTAACTAGAAAAAGGCTTTTGGCAGCAAACGATCTCTTTCAATGAATTTTTAAACCATCAACACCATCGGTTTATACAATCTTTTTTATATCTGTTACATTTTAACCACCTGCATGTAAAGTCAGTTGGAACAAATAGGCCATCAAATGAATGGTGACGCCTCGTGCTGAGTTAGCAGCAGAAAGCAAACCATTTATTTCTAATCGGGTGTTGTGTTGTGATGTGGAACTGTAATTAAATTTTTGAAACTGCTTCTTACTTCAGCTTTTTCCTTGCGTAAAGGGAACAAACACATGATTGGATGAGAAATTGGTTTTGCTAAGAGGGAAGTGAAAGTTGGTCAGTTGTTTACACTCAGGATCATTTTTCCATAAGGGCTTAAATTAACTACACAGCTGTGCCACACTGCAGAGGAGGCAGGTGTTTGTGTTTGTGTGCTTCTATTTTTGCAAAAACGCTTTGGGTGTTAAATTTTGATGATAATTACTTAAGGCACTCTTGCTGGATTGTCAGCGTAACTAAGAAGCAAGGTTAAGATCACGTTAAGAGTTAGGGCAAAGATTATCATATGAGGCTAAATTTTATTTTATTTTATATCCTTAAAAAAACAAATCAGGTATCTCATTTTATATTGGCTTTGTGAAAGAGCTTTGTGAATGCTTTTGCTGCAAGTAATAGATAAAAATATCCACAGCGATTCTGTTGAACTTCAAACGCAGGTTTTCAAAAGCTTATATAAATCCAGGCTATGGCAATTAGATAAGCAAAGTGGGTACCGGGGAAAACTGTGGGCCTCTTTAGTCCAAAATTCTATTACTGTCCACCGTTGGATTGTTTTCTTGCTGCAAATAAGAAAACAGTTGTTTGGTCTGATGCTCACAGACGTCTCAGGACTCACTGCATACAAATGTTTGCCTGTGTTATACTTTAGAAGGCATTTTTTTGCAGAAAAAGTCCCCCATCACTTACAACAGAATTGATTTACAGCCAGTTTACCAACAAGAAAATTCTAAGCCCTTAAAATCCAACTATAGCTGTAATTGCCAATTTGGAGCAGCTTAATCAGCTACAAATAGCTTTAACCGATGCCTTTGTTCTTTTTGTCTCTTTAGTTCCTTCGTGTGGTAGATGCGTGCTCTAGCTTTCTCAGCAAGTCTATGCAGCTAGACACCTGTATTGGCATCTTGAATCTGGCTGACAGACATGCCCTGTCAGCCCTGCGCGCCAGAGCTCAGGACTATATTACTACTCAATTCTCTCAAGTGGTCCAGCAGCAGGACTTCCTGGAGCTGCCAGTGGAATCTCTGGAGACTATCCTGCAGAGGGATGACCTGGATGTGAAATGTGAGGAGTGTGTTTTTGAAGCACTAATGCACTGGGTGAGAGCCCGCCAGGATGAACGCTATCCCTTACTGGCCAGGTTGCTTACGCACGTACGGTTGCCACTGCTGGAGCCGGCATACTTTGTTGAGAAAGTGGAGTCAGATGAGCTGATACGACGGTGCAGCGAAGCTTTTCCTTTGTTGCAAGAGGCCCGCATTTATCATCTCTCTGGCAGGGAGGTCAGTATAAACCGCTGGGCATATTGTGTTTTATTGTTGTTAATCACTGTTTGTCTCATGTCCAAGTTTCATATATGTTTGACCTTTTTAACAGGTGGTCTCAGAACGAACCAAACCACGTGTGCAGCACTTTCTATCAGAAGTATTCTTGATCATTGGAGGCTGCACCAAAGACGAACGCTTCATTTCCACTGTCACATGTTTGGACCCTCTCAGACGCAGCCGACTGGAGGTCGCCAGGATGCCAATGACAGAGTTAGAGGACGAGTCCCAAAATAGAAAATGGGTGGAATTTGCTTGTATCACTTTCCACAATGAAGTATACATATCTGGTGAGTGAACATATTCTTTTTTTCATAGAAAGGCTTCACTTGTGAAATTGTGATGATTGCTCCTTGTTGTTATTACCTGTTATTACCTTAAGTGTGCACTTCACTGGTATTCAAATGTAATGAGAATTTAGGAATTTATAGTATGAACAAAACAAAACAACAGGAAGTCGTGACATTATTTCTGCTCTAACAGTTGCTGTGGTTTTAGGTGTTTCCCAACGCAGGAACTGACAATTCTAGTTAAGTGGAACACGCAGACTGTAAATGCTATGACTAGCACGCAGGATTTCTCCATCTTTAAACAGCATGATAACTTAGTGCAGAGCTATTACTAAAGACTTGGCGATATGTCAGTATTTTGGAATGAAATATTTGTACAGATAATCACAGTTTTCTCTAATGGTCTCATTGCTGTAGGAGGTAAAGAGACACAGCATGATGTCTGGAAATACAATGGTGCCCTGGACAAGTGGATCCAAATCGAGCCCCTGTCGACTGGGCGCTGGAGACACAAGATGGCAGTTCACTGTGGGAAAGTGTACGCACTGGGAGGGTTTGATGGAGTTCAGAGGCTTTCTAGTGTTGAGGCCTATGATCCCTTTCATAATCGCTGGATGCAGGTAAACACAATTTCTCAAAGTGGCTAGATTTTTATATTAACTACAACTGTATATATGTGAAGGGTATTGTTTGTAGTTCCTAATAAAAAGTAAGCAAAAGGGAATTACCAACAACTTCAATCTGCACAGCATTTTAAAAGCATTTTAATTCATGTTTTCAAATCTGTTTTATTTGGACAGTCTTGTTTTTATCATGTACTCTGGGTGTGTCCTGAGTGTTGCTTCCAGTTTTCTGCACCACCATCTTCGATGAGCGATTTCTCATCTAATATATTCTTCTTTAACCAAGTGCAGTATATACAACTCCAGTTCCCCTCAAAAGTTGGGAAGGTGTGGAAAACATACATAAAAACAGAATTTGATGTTTTGCAACTCTCATAATAACATGTTTTATTCACAACAGAACATGGAAAACATATTGCATGTTTAAACTTATAACATGTAAGATCTTGAGATAAAAATAAGATCATTTGGAATTTCACAAAAGCAACATATTTGATGAAAGCAACATGTTTTTAAAAAGTTGGGGCAAGGAGATTTGTGATTGTGTAGCATCTCCTCTTCTTTTTACACCAGTCTGTAAATGTCTGGGAACTGAGGACACCAGTTTTGGGACCTTAATGAAATAATTTTTCCTCCACTCTTGTCTGATAGAGGGCTAAAGCTCCTAAACAGTGTAGGTTCTTCTTTGTCGTAATTTTAATTTCATAATCTGACAAATGTTTGCAGTTGCCCAAATATCTGGACTGCAATCAGGCCTATTCAGCACACTGACTCTTCTACTGTGAAGCCATGCTGCTGTAGGCTTCAGTTTAGCATCGTCTTGCTGAAATATGCAAGAATTTCTGTGAAAAAAGGCTATCTGGAAGAGACACTTTGCTCTAAAACATGTGTCAATCTGTGTAAGATGCCATTTCCATAGCCACTATTTCCCCCAGCATACCATCAGAAAGGCAAGCTTTTGAACTGAGTGCTAATAAATCAGGTCACAGAGCCCATACGTTCTAAAAAGAATTTCAAATTGGAATTTGTCTGTTCTATTTTCCATTTTGTTTCTTTCAGATCTACATTCTACAGCATTTGTGGACTTTTTAGATAACTGTTGCTCAAACTTAAAATAAACAAATATTTTTTGACAAAATCGTAAAATATCTCAGTTTAAACATTAAAATATGGGTTTGTGCTATTTGTAAATCATAGCAATGTGTTTTTTAATTAAAAATTAAAAAAGGGCCCAAGTTTTTTTAGAACTTAGGTTTTACTATACCTCACGTGTCACATAAGTTACTTATGTTACTTTCGAGAGTTCAGCTTTCCTGCTATTATCTGCATTTGTATTCTATGTGTTTTCTTTTCCTGTTCAGAAATTCCATCCCATTTAACTCTTGATCCTATGCCTGTTGCCTTCCTATTTTATTTACCTCAATAACTGACCTATGTGTGATCTCCAGCCTGAAAGTAAAGCTTTCAGTTTTGGACTTTCACCTGCCTGTGGTGTTCAATCATCAGTTGCAGCTAACATCATTTTTAAGTTAGCGTCTTTTGTTTAGATCTTTTACCTTTTTAAATTGCCTTACTGTTTTGATTCAGACATACTTATATACGCCTCTTATTTACTGCAGGTGACACCTCTTGCAGTAGGTGTGAGCTCATTTGCTGCTGCAAGCTTTGACAGATGGATCTATGTGATTGGTGGTGGGCCGAATGGAAAGCTGGCCACTGATAAGGTCCAGTGCTGGGAGCCAGGGACAGGCGGCTGGGAACTGAAAGCACCCATACCCATTGAAACTAAATGCACTAATGCTGTTACATTCAAGAACTGCATCTATGTAGTTGGTAAGCTGTCAAATCCCACTAAGTACATTTACCTACTTAATGTTAATGGCATTTATATGTAACTTTTAGAATATTGCAGTAACACTGACACGAGCCTTTTCCATCACGACTGCTTTTGGTTTTGATATATTTAATGTATTTTCAGACTTTTATTATGATTCTGCGTACTGATATAGTATATTGATTTGTATCTGTCCAATTCTCTTTGTGGTCTCAGGTGGTGCCATGCATGCCATGTACTGCTACTCTCCTCTATCTGATTCCTGGACCCTTGTGACTCGTCTGGGGGAGAGGGCAAGCTGTGCCATCGCTGCCTGTAACAACAAACTTTTCATCACTGGAGGAAGAGATAACAAAAACCAAGTCATCTCCACAGTGATGTGCTGGGATGTCGCCCGAGGGGTTTTGACAGAGGAGTGCGTTTTACCAATGGGAGTCTCCCACCATGGCAGTGTGACCCTCATGAAGTCCTACACACATATACACAGAATAACACCTGCCTCAGAGAGCCAATGATACAGACACCGTGAACAGGACCTATTTTGGTGCTAAGAGTGGTTGTAGGATTATGCATGAACAGTAAAAACATGTTCAAAGATAAGGAAAAAGTTTTTTTCTGCATGCATTACAATGTTTACTTTATCTTTGTTACCGTTTTGTAACAAATTAATGACTATGATGTTTTGAAAACATTGCGTTTGTAGTTAAGCTTTCTCAGAAAAGTGTGGATTACAAAGTCACAACAGGTCACAAAAGTCTACAAACACAAAAACGAAAATTAAGCATTTGCTAAATCATTATCTTATAATTTTCTTATTAACTGCCAGAGAAATTTAAAGTTGCAAGTGAAGGAAAGAGCAATACAAAAGCAATTAAATTAACTTTTGGATTTTCCTTTTATGTTTTCAATTAGCAAACTAACTCTGAACTCTACGCTTTAATGCTGACTTATGCAACTATAAATGCAATGGTATTTGAACGCAACACAGGTTACCTGCGTATTAACAAATAAACTGACATGTCAAACAGAACCTCTAATCCATTTCCTTGTGAGTGCTGCCATCAAGTGGTGAAAAGTACTCATGTCGTTATTAAGAGTTCCACACTTTTTGTGAAAGTCAAAACAATGCGACTGTTAAGACACGAAAACAATCAAAGACATGTATTTTTAAAGACGAACTATTGGCCGTATTTATTTCCTGGTTTTTCTTTAACGGGCCCTGAAAACCACCTGCGTTTCATTGTCACCGTTGTCGCGCCAAGGCACCGGAAACATTTAGATGGGGTGGTGCTTGTCTTACCTTTACTCTGTACCTGCGTGTTGTTTTTATGGGACTTGGCAGCCAGTCCAACTGCAGGTTTCGGTTTAGATGCAGGTGTTGTGAATAGATTGGTAGGCTGTGGGCCAACACAGACTTATTCGAGAAGAAGAGACTGATTTAGCTGGGAGAAGAAAGTGAAAGTATCCCTAAATAAGGGACACTGGCGACATTACTGCCTTTTCAGACGGTTTAGAAATGATTTATTGTTATTTCCTCGCCGTCTGGATCCTTGCCTCCTCGGCAGGTGAGTTTGAATACCCTGAACTTGATAGGTTCGATACTTTTCTGTGTGTATGTATACTACTGGTGACCAGACCTCGTCACACAGGCCCAAACTGAGGACACCGGGCAGAGATTGAACACGGTGTGCCACAACCACTTGTAATTTACAGTTTAACATAGCTTATACCGTGAAAAACAAGCTTCACAGGAATGTTGCTTACATTAATGTGTAGTTATACACATTAACACAAAGGCCAGCTGCTTGCAAGTTGTAAAAGCAGCCTGGCACTAAAGCAGAGCAGTTAAACGCGAAGAATACGTTTAAACATTTAATTAGTATGCAATTTGGAGACTATGCGCACACTGATTTGTTCATACTGTATGCCATATTAAGTGTTCAACGCCCATGATCCAAACCTATTGAGAAAGGCGAGACTCGGGTATGGCTGCTATTTCCTACTGTTTTTTTGAATGTTTATCTCCTGCCCAGGTTTTTTTTTTTTTTTAAGATCGACTATTCTGCAGGTATGAAACATTTTGGGCATAGAGATAACAAACGTCTGTGGAGTGACTGTGATTTGTGTAGCTAAAATTTGCTCCCACCCCCACTACTGGTTACTATGTATTGAACTCCATTTTTTACAACTTGTTTTGTTTCTAACCTTCTGAAGTGAAAAATACACCAATACATTAATTACTGTGGAAATAGAAAGAGATAATAAATAATATAACATCACAGTGGTTGATATATTGAAAATACTCAGAGAGCTCCTTAAATGCAAACCTGTACTTCTATGTTAAGCTTAACGACCTCAATAGCCTCTCCTACCCCTGAATGCTTCACTGCTCTTTTAAATTGGAAGTCATCACATTTCCTGCATCTCAATCCTGAAAAAACTGAGGATCTTGTGTTTGGCCTTAACAGCTTCTCTATGGAGGTCAGCAGTGGCGGTCCTAGCCTGTTTGGCGCCCTGGGCGAACACTCCCTCTGCCCCCCCCCTACACACACACACACACGAAGAGAGAGAGAGAGTATGCATAGTATGCAAACGGCTACCAATTTAGCCATCATAATTTGTCATACAATGAGAACAGGACAAATAAACAATTAACAATGACTAATTAATATTAAAATCTGTAACATAATGTAGTGTTTGGAGTTTAGTCTGTTACTGTTACTATTTTTACCATTTCTTCTTGGAGCAGGTGTAACCCACATAATTTCCTTAGGGGTTATTAATAAAGTATTCTGATTCTAATTCTGATTGTTTTAGGATGACCTGCCATCATCCAATAACACATCTGCTTACCTGTTCTTTTGCTATTTTCACCTCCTCTTCTTTTCTCTTTTTTCTAAATTGAGGACCTGATGGCTTTGAACTTTTCTTGTCCATCTTGGTTTTAATTTTGCACTCCAGTATGAACACCATTCCCCAACCCGAGGATCACCACAACATAACCTAATAAACCTACACCTTAGTTCACAGATTAACTTTGTTTAGGGCTTATTTCTGAGATTTCGCACAACCCAGGATTCAAATCATGAATACACAATGAGCTTGGATTTACAACACTATGAATGAAATGTTTTCTATTTGGAAGCAGCCCCCCCCTCCCCTTTCGACGGGTTGTGTGTGAGACTTTAAATCATCAAACTATAAATTATAAATTTTAAATTGTTATTGATACCTTTACCCCCAGTCCTAAAGTGTATATACTGGACTGTATGTAGCGGAGATGACAATAAAGTTTACTTTGACTTCAGCAGCAAGCAGGCGCACCGAGGGCTCTCGCGCTCACTTTTCTCATATAGAATTTCGAAAAAAACATTGGTGCAAATTATAAGGCTGTATCATAATGTCTGGTGTTTTCGTGTTTGTTGGTTTGTTGGATTATTGGTTTGTTTTTATTTTTGTTTTATTTTGCGAGTTGGGTATTAGATGCTGCTCCAGCCGGTCACAGAATCCCCCGCCGCCCCGCCCTCTCCTTCCTGTGCCGCAAGCAGCAGGCGCACCTCGCAAACGGAGGGCGCCCTTACTCCCAGCAAATGGGCGATAGAAAACCGATCGGTGCCTATGCCATCCCCAATATGCGCTGGCATGACGTCGGGGCAGCATGAGTACGAGCAATTGTTTTTTGTTTTGTTTTGTTTTTTGTTTTTTTGCCGATACCCTTGATGCTGCTCCTCACCACGATGCCGCCCCGGGCAACCGCCTGTGTCACCCGTATCAACCGCTAATGGAGGTCAGTCTTTAGATCAGTCCAGAACTTTGGTATTATTTTTGACCAGGATTTTAATTTTTTAAGTCTCACATATTGAAACTCATTCAGCCTCATTTCTTCCATTTAAGAAACATTAGACATTAAGCATTCCAGTATTAGTCTTTTAAAAGTTCCTGATTTCTTAAGCAAAAATATTTTTGATCTTCCATTCTTATCTGGTGGGTTTGTCTGGTTTCGTTTACATTGACAGAGCAATCTTTATGGCACATAACATGTCCTTACATCTGTTTTTATAGAGATGTCCATTTTTTTAGCTTCCTTTCACTGTAAAATGTTTAGAAGTCAGAATGTAAACTTTGTAAAGTTTACATGCTGACTTTTCTTTAATAATATTATTTAATAAATCTTGTTTAACTCTTTTAACAATTTATCTTTTGAACGTCATCATTGACTGATACTTCTAGTAAGTACTATTTAAAAACTTTCATTGAAAGGTATTAAATAAAATACTTCAACTAATAAAATGAGATTCAATTATATATGAATCATATAAAATCATATAAAATTGTATTACACTGTACTAGCATCTTAGTGTTTATTGCTGAAGTCTTGACACTGAGCTGTCACCATGCCTGTACTGGTCATACTAGTCTAAATTATTTGTATTTTGCATCTTTCTTCACTTTTCTGTTTTCTGTTTCTAGTTTCTGGGCAATCAACACAATATGTACTCCTGGGTGAGACAGTCACCTTCAGGACGGATATCAGAGACCGCCTTGATGACATTCTGTGGAAACATAATGGGAATAAAGTGGTACAATTTGATGGCAATGAGCAAACTGAATACAACCCATTTCAAAAGAGGATCACTCTCGACTGGCACTCTGCAGACCTGGAAATCAACCAACTGACACATAGTGACAGTGGACAATATGAATTGGATGCAGCACAGAAAAATGGTTTGAATCGTCTTAACTTTGAATTGAAGGTCTTAGGTAAGTTCATTTTATACTACCTTTTTAACAACTAACAGTGGCATCCAAGGTCAGTGCAGTTTTTTGATTTGTTGAACAGACGAAACAGATCACTGATGAATATATATTTTATTATTGTATGTAATATTTAAAATTTTAACTTCAAAAGTTTTTTATAAAAAAAAGTAATTTCAACAGTAATTTATAAAAGTAATTTATAAAAGAAAAAAACTTGAGTCAATTTATAAAACAAAGCATCAGTGGTGTGGAGTTTCTAGACTGTACTGATTGTACATCACTGATTTCAAATTTAACTATTTTTCTTTTACCTATTCTGGCAACTTATTAGTTCTGTTTACATTACATTTCCAGCTGAACACCAATTTGTTAACTCTGCTTCTAACTTTCATAACTGTCAAAAAATATGACACATATGCTTTTATTCTGAAGGATTATGAATGCAAAGCTTGTATTTGGTGAATGTTTTTTGTACTGTTGCACTGTACCTTAAGCATAAAAGCTCTTGGTGCTTCCACCAAAACATCCCACAACTCATCATGATAACAACAGCTTATCTCTTAATTAGTCACTTATCATGCGTTTTATTCTCCTTATATTTGGTTCAGAGAGACTCTGCCCTTTAGAAAGCTTTAGTTATTTGCTAAACAGCCTAACACAGTATATACTTGACTTACATTGGATTATAAGTCCAACTATTAATGTTGAGGTAGTGTCATATACAAGCTGCTATTATGCATTTTCAAACCAGTCCAGCCTTAACTTCCTCAGCCTCAAACCAAATACTGATAGATGAGTTTACATTTCAAACTCAGCGACATTATTAAACAGACATCAGCTTGAAATGACTTAGCCCTTTTCACACTTGGATAATTGACAGTAATACAATGATTGTATTAATTCATGAATGCAATATAGTTCATGCAATATATATATTGTTGGATGATTTGTTTTTAATATATTTTAATTTCAGATTTGCTTTTTTGTATTTATGTATAAATATAGACAGAGTAACCAAGCCCACCATAACCTGTAACATGAGCGATGGCAGCAGCTCTGACAAATCTGGAAGTGAAGCCACACTGATGTGCTCTGCAAAAACATCACAATCCTTAAACTACGAGTGGCGCCAACCTGGAAAAATTCAGTCTGGCCAGATATTAACGATATCACTAGGGACAGAACATGACGATAAAGTATACAGCTGTACTGCAAGCAACCAATTGTCCAAAGAAATAGCTACATTCACTGCAAAGGATTGCTACCCTGGTAAGGTTTTACTAATTAGCTCCACTATATGTTTATAATTAATGTGATGGACTAGGGCATTTAACCGGATTATTTTCTGAAACTGTTTTATACAAACTGCTTTTATCAGTGTGTTACGACCCTTGGTCGGGTTTATCCCACCAAAGGCCACTGGTTTGAAACAACACCTACACTACTGCACTGATAATAGCAGTAACTTTAATTTCAAAGAATGCAGTTTTCTGTTAACTTTACTGTAATATAAATAACAATAAAACTGGACAATGATGTGCAGAGGGCACAACCTACTGTGTTATCAATTTTATTAATGGAAAAATACATATTTTATTAATTGCATTTTAAAAAAATCATATACATATCCATTTGGTCATTGATAAGGGAGACTGTAGAGTTCATGTTGTCTAAAATCTCTGGTTTTATGGAACTATAACTCCATTGGAACTGTGTATGGCTGTTACAGAAGTTGTTCTATTTGGATTTCTGTGTTTCTGTGCAGTTGGAGCCTCAGCTGGACTGATTACTGGACTGGTTATTGGCGGGATAGTAATACTCTTGTGTGTTTTGGGTGCAGTGTTCTGTGCAGTAAAGCATAAAGGTAAAATAAAGCAACAACAAGCAATGAAAACTTATTGAGAGAATGGGTCCAAAAATATTAACTTATCATGACATGGAGAAAACAAAGTGATACACAGGATATATGTTTGATTCAGAGAATATACTGTGTATCCTGTGTTTAACCTAAGGTTAACAGACTTGACTTGATAGTGTAATACATTCTCTGGGACCGATGTTATTTTTTTATTTGGAGATCAAAATACTAATTGGATGTTTAAAAATATATGTATATGGAGTACTGTTGAAAAGCTCCACATTTTAGTGACTTAAACCTTCATAGTGCACCATAAGAAATAAATCATTCCTTGTTTATTATTATTTCTCTTCTTTCTTGATTCCAGCATGCTTTGCAAAAAAGGAGAAAACAGACGTGGAACAACAGCCACATAGTAGTAAGGACAAATGTCTAATCTTGAGTGTGTGTGATTTTTTTTTAGCTCTGCATATTTTTGACATCATGAATTTAATGATTACTTCTACAAGTCATTGACATGGGACAGTTAAGCAGTGTGCAGCGTGCTGTGGTGTTCTGAGCAACAAACAGACCTAAAACCTGTTATCACTTCAATATCACCTATTATCTTTGATTTTAGAGGAATTTATTAATACCATACATTTTACATCTATGAACTAACTCTGAAAAAAAGTAGGTTAATTTTTTTCTTTTTATAAATAAATATAAATTTATAAAGGAAATTAGGAATTGATAAATTAAACTTTCTATCACTAGACTAATGGGGATGCTCACCTGATTATTTCAGTATTGTTGAGATAAAATTAAAGAAGTTACCTGGAAGAAAATTATTATTTTTCCTTTTTAATTTTGGTTTTGTGTTAATTGTTAATTAACATTATACACAAAAGGTCTTTATTCTGGGATGCATTTCTTTCTTATCAGTAAGTTACTTTTTAAAAAATGTTCATCTATTTCAAATTATACATCTAATCATGCATCTGATCAACCATCAGAGCCTCTTCTTCAAAGAGAAGAAACAATACCCTCTTCCCACCCGCTTCGCCATTTGGCAGAAATTGTAAAGAATCACAATTTTGATCACAATGATGAAAAACACAACGAGCTGGACCTGGGCACTAGAGAAAGTAAAGGTAAAGGTTCGTCACTGTTGTTCCAGTTCTCTGATTTTGAATGTTTTATACAACTATTTTGGGCTGTAAGCAGACTTGTCTACTAGTTTTTTTTTTTACTGTTGCTATTAGATTTAGAAAGTGTTCTTAAATGCTGTAACAAAGGCAAAATCTTATATAGGTATATAAAGACAATAGGTTGTCAGGGGTTTCAATAGCAGTGAAGAAGCTCTCAGTGTGTGTGTGTGTGTGTGTGTGTGTGTGTGTGTGTATGTGTTGTCTTTTTAGTTCACTAAATGTATTCTTTACTTTCTTTTCTTTTTTTTCATTTTGCTGAATGATTAAAAGAAAGTTAATTAAAAAATATTTTTAAAAGTAGAATTAGAAATAGTATAAAAAAGAAAACTTCAACAGAAGTGTATGGTCTTAATGTGTATTGTCACGACTTGGTCTTACTCTTTATTAGTGATTAACTTTTATTTAAAATATTTTCAGGAAATGGCATATGTACCAAACTAGTAATTAGTAACACTGTAACAGTTGCAGACTATCAAAATTCCTCAGCTTAGTTAGCTGTAGCATGCTTGCTGTTGATATCTCAGTTCACATATATATACTTTTCTCCCCTGCTAAGTTCAGTTTTTCAGTTTGTCACCTTATTCAATACATAATTTTGTGTTAGGTACTTCATTGCAGTATGATAAACAAGCAGGTCACAGTTAAACAGAACAATTCTGAAAAAAATGGCAGCTATAATAAGACACTTACTAAATATGCAGCTGATGCATCTGGAGTACAGCTAATCGTAACCTAAAATCTCAAGTTTATTAGTCTAAGCCATCTTAATGCCTTCAAATGCTGAAAGCCACATAAGAATGAGAGGTTTTCAAGATTAGTTTTTCAAAAATATTTGTTATTTATAATCATTGTTTAGTGGTATGATATTGCAGTAGACTATTTTTTCTGTTTGTAATTCATTCCTTACAGTAAAGAAGATTGTTAAAAAAACTGAACAAGGAGGTACAGGTAACTTTGTTTTTTTCACTTATGCTAATTGATCAAACCAGTGAAATATAATAAACAACTTTTTTGGAAAAACAACTTGTTTTATTCTCTCTCACTCTTTCTCCGGTTTAGAATAACCCACGTTTCCCTCCAAACTATTTAATCCTACGACCATCTTTTAACAGACTAGTACACTTTTTAAACTTTTTTCCCCCATTTGTTTCAGTGTCAGAGGGACAAGAATATGAGGAAGCAAGGAATTTTATTAATTATGGTGATGGTGCTTCTGCAGCCCAGCCAAGTTCTCCTTTGATCAACAAGGAAGCTGTTGTTGGGAAAGATATCAACTCTGGAAAAAAGAAAGAAAATGAATCAAGTGGCTCAGGTGAAAAACAAGTGTTGTCCACCATTTCTAAACAGATAACTTCAGAAAATAGTAGTAATAACGTGTATTTCTCCCTGCTATACGAAGAATCACTTGTTGAAAAAGATACCAGAAAAGTTATGAGCAAATTTTAAAGTTTCTAAAAATAACAGTAGATAAGATAATAAGATTTGTCACAGGAAAAAAAA